TGTGCGGCCGGCAGGGCCTGCCCGGGGACCTGCCCAGGGAATGGAGATGCTTGAGGGCCGGTCTGCTCTCTCGGGAAGGGTTTGGCGCTTCGGGTAGCCGAGTGACGCCCGTAACCGAACTCCCGCCGCTCTCCTAGGGAAGGTGTCGCTCGGGTTCTGTACCCCGAGACACAGGGCAGCTGAGTGCTGCCTTTCAAACCAGAGAGAAACCTCCAAGAGAGGTTGTGTGAGCAATCTTAGTTATCCGGACAGCCTTCGCACCTTTGGCAGGAGAAGTCCCGTTGCTGGGTGAGCCTGCTCCCGTTCCCTCGGGAGGGAGGCTGGGAGCGGGGGGTTGCCGTCCGGCGGGCAGGCCTGTTGGCGTTTCTGGGTCAGGGCAGCGCTGGGGAGGTGAGGTCGGTGTGAACACCCCACGTCAGGCCCGGGGCTTGGCCGGGTGCGTGACCCGAATAATCCTCGCAGTGGATGGGGCGGCTCTGGGACACCTGTGTGCGTCCTCACGAGGATTATGGAGCTGGGATCAGGCCAGACCCTACTGACAAAAAGCCAGAAAGGAGGAGGAGATCAGTCTTTTCCTTCTTTGTATTTGTGTTTCCATAGTGAAGTATTTTGGCATCATTTACTCGAAATCTCAGAAGTCAGGCTTGGAAGTGCCTGGTGGCTATAGCTTAGGAGTTTGTTTAGGAACAGAGGACCCTTTTGATTTGGCCTTTTTTTTTTTCTTTACATTATCAATATGTATTTTTGTACATATTGAATCTGTAACAGAAAAGTATTCCAAAGAGAGTACAAATTGATTTGTTAGTAAACGTTTAAGAATATGTGAAATAGAAACAGAAAAATCACCTATTTTTTAAACCGACGTCAAGTCCTGTATGTAGATGTCCTAACGTGTTTAATGGCTGTATCATAATTCCATCTTAGATGTCATAATGCTACTCATACACATGGTGCCCAAGTGAAGGGGAAAATATTTTTTTTTACTATTTTATTATTTTAGTAAGTTCATTTTGTCAATATGGAAGGGATCAAAAGTGATAGTGAGCGGCGTGGTTCTCTACTGGTGAGTTTGCAAATAAACATGCTGAATAGCAAATTACTACTGGCATCAGATATCAGTAGCAATTAATGGGCAATACTTGAATAAGTTTGATGTATAAAATTTTCTTACTCTTTTACAGGCCTGCAGCCTGTCATACTAATTCAGACAATGAGTAACGCTCATTTCTCCAGGCCTCTGACCTAAAAACAAAAAACAAAATACTGGCCCTCATAGCAGGAATTGTTTTGTTTAGCTTCACACAATTGTTTATGGGGGGTTGAACTGATGGATTTGTCTGTATTACCTGGGTCTCAGTAGGGAATCCTCTAATGTGACTTTTTAAAAAAGAAGAAAGGATTGTTTGCTGCAACTAGCTGAACGTTTGGCAGGGAGGTGCTAAAATAAAAGTTTGTATCTGTCCATAATGCAATGTGATTTTTTTTTCATAGGGTTATGAGTACTCCCAGCAGAGCGGATTTGTTCCTCCCGACATGATGCAGCAGCAGCCTTACACAGGGCAGATTTACCAGCCGACACAGACGTACACTCCAACTTCAGCACAGTCTTTTTATGGAAGTAATTTTGAGGATGAGCCTCCTCTATTAGAAGGTATAACTTAGGCTTTATGGCTCAAATCCAAAACTTCTCCCAATTTGGGACTGAGTAGCAGGCTGTGTATTCCCTACTTCTGAAAGTGCATAGTTGATTTGAAATTCTTCTTGTTTTTTATTCCTGTTTAACTTTTTGGTATATGAAGTATATTTTCTTGTGTAAACTTCTGCAGTTTAAAGTTGTGCATTATTGCTTTGCACCAGCTGTTCTGTGGAAGACAGAATCAATTAAATGGATAGCCTGACTTCATACAGATCTTGTCACAGTGCAAATAGCGCTTGTAAATAGATGCAGTCAGTGTCAGTCGATTATTTGATTAGAACTGACATCTTTCATTGCTGCAGAGGAATGCCAAACACTGCAGAAATTCCTGTGCAGAGTAGAGCCCGTGCAGATGCCAGAGCGGGTTTGTAGTTAGCGTCTGGCTTGATGGTTTCAGTTCCCAGCTCATCCCCGTCGTTGTTCGGTACCAAACACCTGCTGCTGGTTAGAGGGAGTCAGGAGACCTCTACCTGCTCCCGATACCTTCCACCCTGCTGTGCTCTTTCTTGTTTTCTTCGAAAAAATGTTGTTCACGTAGATGCTTCCCAGAGCCTGGAGTGAGCAGACAGTAACCAGGTCCTGATGCCCGACTGCAGTTACTGGGCTCTGTTGAGGATGGAGGCTTGAAATCGTGTACGGCTGGAGGGGGCTGTGAAACTCCTCATCACGAGACGCTGAGTGGTGGAAGGGGTGGGTGGGTGTTTTAGTCAGCTCCGTGGGTGATTTGTGAGAGAGAAATCCCTTGAGTACAGAGAAACTACTTTGAATTAGAAATCCTTGAACCATTGGTCATTGGAGATTTGGGGAATCTGCATGTTCTGTGCTTATACTGTGCCGTACAGATCTGCTTTTGGCCAGTTCCAGGGACAGGCTACTGGGCTAAATGAACTGTGGGGCTGGCCCAGACTGTGGTTATGCTCTGACCCGGTCCTTCAGAAACCACCTTGTCACTCCCCGGCATGTGGGACCTGTGAGGTGTGGAGGCAGCATGCTCGGCAGCTTGAGGAGAGATGGAAAGACTCTCAGAATCACAGAATGTTAGAGGTTGGAAGGGACCAGCCCCATAGGATGGTGTCTGGAGGAGATTTGAAAGCGAAGAGGCAGGGAAAACTAGGAGTGAAGCAACTGAGAGTGACAGGAGAGAGTGAAATAAATGTGCACAGTTCCTTTCGTGTAACTTGCAGAATTGGGGATCAATTTCGACCACATCTGGCAGAAGACCCTAACGGTGCTGCACCCTCTGAAAGTAGCAGATGGCAGCATCATGAATGAGACTGACTTGGCCGGACCGATGGTCTTCTGCCTGGCTTTTGGAGCCACGTTATTGCTGGTAAGAGACTGATGGCAAAATATGACTGTTTGTGCATTAACACTTTTGGAAACACTTGAGGGGCAAAAAAGCCAAGTTACCTCTGGGTTTATTGGAAGTGACTTCTTGGCACTGAGGCTGAAAGAGCACGTCCTGCCCGAGAATTTACGGCTGTGTGGGAGAGGGGCTGGGGCTTCGCACGCCGCTCGTTCGCGTGGGCACGTTCACTGTCCTGGTACTTCAGGACAGCTTGGATCGGAGTCTTTGTGCTTGGTTTTTGCGTAGCAACTGTTTCAACGTAATTCGCATTTCTTTTCGTTCTTTGCTTTTGAGGAACATGGCTCCCTGCTGTGGCAGGAAGAGGTGTGACCCTTATTCTCACATTTTTTATCTGTTGGAGGGTTTTTAAAGTTTGAGAATTTTACTTTTGGAATCACAACTTTTTGCAGTGTTTCTCTTACCTTGTGTCTTATCAGGAATCAGAACACTGGACACATTAAATATTTGAGTATTTCTTTAATTTATTTAGGAGTTTATTTTTAAACTCTTGAATCTGGTTTTGTGCTTTGCTTCACTGCATTTCTTTGCTCCATGCTCTTTATTAATTGTTTTTTACTGATATTCAAGAGCCAAGGAAACTCATAATCCATATGTAAAAAGTGATTTCGTAAGTACTGATACATGGACATGACTTTTGGTATTAAGAGTCAATCCGGTAAAACACTTCTAAAGTAAACCTGCTTTCAATTTGCTTATGTTTCTTAGGTCAGCAGCTGCTGAAGCCTAGTGTTTTGGGTTTTTTTCAGTTGAGCTTAACTGAAATAAGATTGTGCTTTAATGACTCCAGAGTGTCAATTGTGAAATGACAGAGCAGCAGCAAACAGTCTTCCCTGTCATTGAAAGCGTCGATCTTATTTTCAGGTTTTTTCTCCACGTGGCTTCAGGCACTGCATTTAATTTTTGCCTAAAATTTCACGTTGCTCTGACACTTAGAACATGGTGGTTTGGTACCAAGGGGACTTTAAACCTACTTAAATAAATAACCTTTATTTATAGAAACCAGGCCAGTAGAACTAGTGATCGTATTTATAACAGATACATTTGAGTGTTCTTTTCCTAAGAAATGATGACTTTCCCCTGTGTACTTTTTTTTTCTTTTTAAAAAATACATTGAGTGGAGTGACAGAAAACAACCTTAGCCCAGCAAAAAGATTAAAGCAGGCCTGACAGTTTTCTGTAGGGCTTGAGGAAGAGAGGAGCTGGGTTGTAAGTAAACTTAATTTGTAAGTGGGCAGTGGGTGACAGACCCTGATGCCACAGGCTTCGGTCTCGTTGTTGGAAAAATGGATGACCTGGGATACGTAAGCCTTGAAATAATGTGTGTGAGCTTTCTGCAAACTTGTTAGAAAGCAAAGTTCTGGTTCTGACTTTTTAAAATGTACATGAGTTAATTCTGCTGTTGTTAGACAGTGCTCTACAGCTCAGCTTCAGCTGTTTCAGGGAGTTCTTTATAATTTCAAAAAGAAAGATTAGAAAAATCAAACCACCTTTTTTGATTTTTACTAACTGACCTCCATTAAAAAAAATTGTGTTCTGCTATAATTTCGTGGAGCCTGTCACAAATCCAAGGACTTTATTTCTGGTTTTCTTGAAGTTCCTGAGTTACAATTTTTTTTGTCATTATACACTTGTATAATACCTGTAAAGGTGATGATTGCAAGTAATCGATCGGCACAAGAAGCTAATTGATTAAACCCTATAGAATTCTTAGGCTCTTGAGGCCCAGATCAAAGAATAACAATTGAATCAAAATTAGTAAATAGGTCATTTAGGATAAATGTGGGGCTCGCGTGCTGAGGACAGACGGGTGTCCTGGAATTCAGGCTGTGGGGAAATCCTGCCTGTGGGATGTGGGGGTGGGGGACGAAGGGGAGAAAGATGAGACTGTGTCCTTGCTCCTTCCTCCTCCCGTTGCTCGTGGCGCGCGTTGGGGGCTCTGGGAACTGACGTGCCATGCTCTGCTTGTCTTCCAGGCTGGAAAAATTCAGTTTGGTTACGTGTACGGCATCAGTGCCATCGGATGTTTAGGGATGTTTTGTCTCCTCAACTTAATGAGCATGACGGGTGTGTCGTTCGGCTGCGTTGCCAGTGTCCTCGGATACTGTCTTCTTCCTATGATCCTGCTTTCCACTTTCGCCATCGTGTTTTCGTTGCAGTAAGTACAGAAGCTTTGTGGTTTGGTAATGGATTTCTCTCCCGGGAGACAGTGAAGGAAGGTATTAAAAGAAATTTTCGTGCTCGGCGATGGAGCTGCGTGTAATTTGAATTGGAGAGGAATTTGTAGTCAGTGTAAAAACGTAAATATCAACAGTCTTCAGGTGTTGCCAGCATTCAAGATAGGTGAGTGGTGGATTTATCTAGAAGTCAATTAACAGCTTTTAAATACATAGACTCAAGTAATTATATCGAGTTTGTTTTCATTAGCTTTGGATCTGACACATCTTGGTATCTGTAATGTCTAAAAGTGTAATTTAAGATGCAAATTTGAATTTGACAGACAGAAGGAACTGCGTGATGACTCAACTGTCTGAAATTAGGGATTGGAGGGAAAGAACTTGCTACAGTTACTTTGCTTACCACTTTTACATTGTCTGTGCACAAAGTTAATTTTGTGGGGGGGTTCTATGCTATTGTAATTGAGTAATATCATTCTGAAGTCTTTATTGGAACTATTTCATCAAATATAAAAGCTAAAATTCATCTTAATCTGTAAAAGGTGTTAGAAGGAGTCCTGTTACAACTCCAGTGAGTGCATCCACACAGGTCTTTCATGAATTCTCTCTTCTTTTTCCTGTCTTTACAGGGGAATGACGGGAATTATTCTCACGGCTGGAATCATCGGCTGGTGCAGCTTTTCTGCTTCCAAAATCTTTATTTCTGCCTTAGCAATGGAAGGACAACAACTTCTAGTAGCATACCCCTGTGCTTTACTGTACGGAGTCTTTGCTCTCATTTCCGTGTTTTGAAAGGACTGTCCCAGCGCTTGGACTCTGGGCCAAAACGAAACCGTCAACCTGGAACGTTTAGTTGGGCCAGAAGCAGCTGCAGACAGCTGTGTCGTGTTGCTGTCACCAACCCTACACCTGTTTTGAATCAGCTGGAACAATGAAAACAAATGTCTCGTGTTCCCTTTTTTAGGACTTTGAATACCAGGGTGTCTAGAGCTTTAATAAGTGTTCATGCTTATCGAGTTAATGTAATTTCTTTCCCATTCCAGTACCTTTAGAAAAGTAACTTTTTTATTTGAGGGTTGTGTTTTTGTTGGTTTGATTTAGGGGAGGGAGGGGGAACGGTTGCAGTTACAAATTGATCCGTTTTTATCTGAAAAAGTTAACAAACTGAACATGCCATAAATCTGCAGTAAGAAGGGACCTATTGCCTGTCCCCTCGTACCAAAAGCAAAATGCACAAAGCAGTTGGAGTATTTTCTGTATTTTAACAAATACACTCTTAAGCTCTTTGGTCTCGTTTATTTGGTCATTTCATGTGATAGTATTTTGTCATTTAAGATACTTAAATAATGAATTGGAAAACAGATGCTTAAAAGTTAAAGGGATCTGTAATTCTGTCATACTTGAAGTATGAATACGTTTGGATGTCTAAGTAGCTATATGTTAACTTGAATTTCTGAAGGTGACTTCAGCTAGAGTTTCTTTTCCTAATGGTGCACATACTAGTAGATGAAGAGTAATCTCTTTTGCAGTACTTCCAAGAAAAAACACCATTTTGAAAATGTTATGCTTGTCAGTATTGTAGTTACTGTAAATAATTTAAGGCATATTGATTAAATTTTCCTTAAATTTTGAAAAAGGTGTTTGATTTTTCTATTTTATTTTTTTTATTGGAGTTCAATTACTAAAATATAAACTTCAATGTTGCAGCAATATCGTATTTAAAGCTGTATTCAGCCGGTGGATCTGGTACTTGCTTCAGCCACAGATACTTAACCTTACTTGAGAAATACGCTCTCGTTCGAGGTGTTGGTCACTTGGAAGTCTTACAGGCGTAAGAAGTGGGAAAGCAGAACTGGTTGTTCTTCACGTGCTAAGTCTTCAAATAAGCAAGACAAGGATATGGGCAGATTTTAGTTCATCCTGGGGAGGGAAGGTTACTTAGGCCAATAGTAAATCCCTGCTGCCACCTTGGAAATTGGAAGGGTCTGGCAGTGCTGGTTACCCAGTTCTGCAGCTCTTTGATCCAAGGGCTTGCGGGATTTGCCACGAGGTTCCTCTGTGGAGCGATCTGTGCTCAGCCCTCGGGGGGCAGCGCTGTTCTGATGTGTTGCAGGGACACCCTCTGCTGAGACTCGGGGTGTGAGTGTGTCGTCAGAGGAACGCTTCCGTCTTCCTGGCCCGGTTCTGAATCGTTTTGCAGGCTCAGCACACGTTTTATTGCCTCTTCGGTTCTCCTGCCGCTCTCTCCCTAGTGCCACCAGAAGCTGCTGACAAGGTTCTTCTTTGCTGGCCAGAGCCAGGTTCTGCTTGCGTCCCTGGGAGGTGTGGGGTGCGTCGTGTGAGCGCCGAGTCTTTAAGAACCAAACACTGATGCATGAAACTGTTCTGGCTTGTGACACGTACAGGAACCGGCTGTTGGAATGAATCTTAAAACTCTTCCCCATAAAAAACTTCAGTGTCCTTCAGAAACGAATTCAAGAGCCCGGGTAATTTTCTACTTGGATGCATTATTAGAAATGATCATCCTAAATAAAAGTGACAAGTGGATTTTTTTTAGCAAAATGTTTTACTCTGTATTTCGTAGTTCAGGTTTCTTTGGATTAGTAGATCACATCTGCCCTGGCGCACAAAGTTCTTTTGGTGAAGAACATTACTTGCTGGTGGAGCATCATGTCCTGTATTTGTGCAAATAAATTGCAGTGATTACTTTTGCTAATGAGGCCTAATTAAATACAGAATTGTTCTAGTAAGTACAAAAAATCCCATACTTTCTTGAGCACATAAGGTTCTAATACTCAATTTTTTTATTTTTGTGAAGCCGGCTAATTAAGCTTACCCTGCAGATACGAGCATGGTTCATTTCTTACAGCCTGCGCTGGTGCTGTCAGTAGCTCCCAGGGTGATTAATTCTGTGTTAAACTGTTAGAAATCACCTTTTCTCTCACCGCAGCGTGAGCATCGAAGTGCAGAGGAAAAACATCAAAATTAACTTGTCTCCGTACAGCTGCGACAATGCAGCTGCTGAGTTTGGGAAGACCATACAAAAAGGCATGTTTTTAGATCTGTCAGCAGAGCCCTTGTTCTGGCAGCAGAGGATGCTGCATGTTCTAGTTGTCTGAGCAGTGAATTCCAGGAGTATCTTCCCTTCTTCAGCTCCCCTGGTGGAGAATCGGGCAGTGAATTTCTAACTGGTCTCTTGGGGGCAGGAGAGAAGCGATGGGGAGTAGAAGGTCAAGAACTAACTGGCAGAGGACTTTATAAGAATATAATGTTATGTCTAGACTGGCAGTCTTAAATATCCCAAATTTCTAGTACGTTAATTAATGTCATTCTATTGACTGCATTTATGGCCTTTCCAAAATCAATACCATTGATTTTCTGTAATAATGTTTTGTCCTAGATCCTGCTTCAATTTTAGTTGCCTTTCAGATGATTAAATCTTGCTGTCACATGGAATGACAAGACTGTATGCTGCAGTTCTTTACTCCCACGTTTGCCTTTCATATTTAGTAGGGCTTTCTTTTTGCCTCCTTTTACTTTCTAAATCTGAACTGTCCCCTACAGTCTGTTAACATCAGTATTCTCATCTGGTTTTCGGATGAGATACTAACATTTTTTGCTTCCATCCTGCTTTATCTCTTGCCATTCTTCATGTTACTCAGCTTAAAGCGTTCAGATATGAATGCTGGTGTTGCTTTTTTAAAACCACTTTTGTTACCACCCCCGTTTTCTACAGAAGCGAAAAGTTACCTTTCCCAGTTTGTCCTACTGTTTTGTCCAGGTTGGTCGATGTTTTGATAGTGACTTTGTTTTCCAGGTCACTTGTTTTGCTGTGGGGCAGCTGCTGACTTTCGCTTCAGTCTGTTTCTATAGGCAACATTTCTGTAAGTATCAAGAAATTACGTGGCATGTCCTTGGCTAAAAAGCACTTTTTTTTTCTGTGTGTGTTTTTTTTCTGTGCTCTTACACCTTTCACCTGTGCACGGGTGTCAGCATCTGATCGTGGTACTTCTTCAGTGATGGATGAGTTCCTTCAGAAGCCGCAAAGGGCAGGGACAGGTTTGGTATTTTGTGTGAAGCCAGATGTTCCTCCATCCTCACAGCTGGAGAGGAGCATCCCGGGGTGGTGTGGGAACACCAGCACCGCTTGCTGCCTTCTCTCCAGAGCGACTCCCTTGAGTTGAGCAGTCCAGACCGGGTTGTGGCAGGGGCCACTCCTTTAGGTCTTTAATAAGAAGCTGGAAAACCCTTGAGCTTGTCTCCAGGTATCTGCCCTGGGATGTTTTCACTGGATAATCCACGCAGGAAGGAACTGGGACTCATTCCCCAAGGGATCGATGCTCCAGCTGGGCAGTGGCTGGGAGGGAGTCCCTCGCTGCCTTAGTCCATATCGATACCAGCCTTTAAAAGGTTGTTAATGTTTGTTGGGAGCCACGTTAGCTGATTGGGGTACAGCCCGTATGTTATACCGCAGAAGCAGGGTTTGCAAAAGAGGGAGCATCGTGTTGCTGCGCCAGTTGATTCACTCAGACAAGCTTTCGGTCTCTGTGTCTTCACCGAGATGCTTTGGGGGGGTCTGCCCTTCAGGCTGCACACCTCATCTTAACCAAAAAGGCAGGAATGGAGCGCCTGGAGCTTGCTGTTTTCTGCTTCTCCACTGGGTGGGTCTGCAGCATATCTGATGGGCTACGGGAGCTCTGATACCTGAGGTGCCGCAAGGCAGGACGCGGGGCTGGCACAGCCCGATCTCCCATGACATCAATACCACATTAAATAGTTTTTCCCTGGGTAATTCACTGCCTTTCCAACTGCTGGGTGATGCAGCTCTTCCCTAGGGTGGATCCCGTTGTGTTGTAGCACTGCCTCGGTACCTTTTGTCCGTGTAAGGTGAGACATCCTTCCTTTGCTATACTTTTCACACTTCGTTAACTAGCATCCCTCTTAGAACCAGAACAAATTATTTACACGATCCATGGAACTAGAGGAGATATTAAAACATTTTATACGTCAAGATGTGGGGACCTCGGGTTATTGTGGTTATCCTTGAGCATCCTGGGAGGTGGGGAGTTCCTGTTGTCCTGTGCTCTAGATAAGGAATGGAGTAAGGAGATGTAATTGTGTAAGTCCTGCTGCATTTGAGTGTCTTTATCCCAGCAAAACATAACAGAGGATTTCTCCAGGGGTGAATTCTCTGTCCAGCTCTCTGAGACAGAGTTTGAAGCTGGGAGGAGGATCTGTAACTGGGAAGTCTGTCGGTTGCGTTTGCCAGCTTTGTGCTTTCCTAACCAAAGCCAGCAGGCCATTAGCCAAACGGCAGTCCGTGCTTTGGGAAGGACTGCAGGCATTGTGCTCTTAAGGGCACTTTTCCCCTCCCTCCTATTATTTCTTTGCTTTATTGCAGAATAGTACTGACATTAGACAAGCGAGGATCTCTGGTCCTCATTGTGAACGGTGAAGTGGAAGATTGTCTGAAATTAGACACTAGCCCTGGAACAGGCCTCTCAAAAATTGCCCTGTAATTATGTGTCTTTAGGAAGAAGGGCGTTGCTCTATTTCTTTACACACTAAACTCCACCACATCTTTCTTGGAATTACAGTGCTCTCACCATATACATTTCTACTAGGATTTTTTCCCCTCAACGTTCTTGCTTTTCTGCTGTTAGCATAGGAAAATCTAATCTTCCTGGATACCTGCCTTACCTACTGACCTACCAGATCTATTCGCCTCTCAGTCACGGGATTTGCTTCTGTGCAAGAGCTGCCCCTGAAGGTAAGGAATGTTCTGTGCTCCCGCCCCGGTCCCCATGAGCCTGACCCTCTGCCACCCGTGGCCACTGCAGCCACACGAATTGCCATCAGGGTTTGACCCAGACCCTGCCAAAGGCGCTCTTTACCTACCTGTGGTTTCCTGTGTCTGGAGAATGACGA